ATCCACTGAGCCATGCCAGCCAGGGTTTATGTTTCTTTTTAAAAGTCATTTATTTATAAAACAAAATATCATACATTATCTGAATCTTTTGATTTATTTCTGTGTAAGTAATAGTTGCTTAGTAAATATTATACAATTGAGTTGTGCTGAGATATAATGAGACAATGTGTTGGGCCCTAAAGACAATGCAGATGGAAGCATCGTAATATAAATTTAAATGCACAGGCCTGAAGTTATCAAGATTACTCAAAAAATATTGTCCCCTAAAAGAAATCTCATAAGTAATTAAATTACTAATAAAAAAGCTCCAAATTTACAAAAATACAAGTAGGAAAGGTAAAGTAACTTATTGTATCAAAGAAGTTTAGGGATTTAGAGGAAAATCAAGTGTTCTCATTGAATTAAGTTATAATGAATTTATAAATGGGCACATTTTTCTAATATGTATAAGACCCACACTACAGTTCTATACATCTCATCTTTCAAAAAGGTAAGATTATATTCTGAGATACAGTGTTATTGAGGTACTTTCCCTGTTTTGTCAAATAACAAAGCGTGAAATACTTATTGCATATCTTTATTTTCAGATTTCAACTCTTCATATGCATTTGTAACAATGATTCACTAAAAGAGATTTGAACCATTAAAACTGTTAAGAGTACATGAGAAAGAATTTAGGAATATTTTAGTGTAATCAATCAGTATTCCTAGATATTTAATGTGAATTAGGAGCTTATGCCACTAATTTTGTTGAACAAAGTAGATGTAAGAAAATAAGGGGGAAAATTCCCTTGATTGGTAGCCTGTATTCAAGGGATATTACTGGACTAGAGCCACAGGGCCTTACACACTATTGATAATCTTTTTGATAAAAGAATTGTACAGGTATAGAGAGTCAACAACCAATTCCATTGTAAAGCTAAATGATATGGTTATCTAAATCAAAGGTCTGTAAACTTTTTCTGTAAAAGGCCAGATACCAAATACTTTCAGATTTCTGTGCCATATGGTTTCCATCTCAACTACTCAACTCTCTTTGCAGTGCAAAAAGAACCAGAGACAATGCTGAAAACAAAAAGTAGTGACTATGTTCCAAAAAGCTTTATTTATAAAACACGGTAGACAGGATTTGGCCTACAGATTGCAGGCTATAGTTTGCTGACCAACTACTCCAAACTCCCAACATCTTTTCTAAGTGATAGTCCCACCTGAGGACAGGCCCCAGGTCAAACTCTTAAACCCTGTGTCTTTGCTGTTCATTTATCTTACTCAGCTTTCCATAGTCTCCTCCTTCTTTTCTGTTTTATTTTCCTTGTGAGTCTGAAATTCTCCAGCTCCCCATTCTCAGAAACTTGGGAAAAGGGTTTCTATGGGAAGAAAGTAAACCTTAATGAGGCACAATCATAAAATCACTGTTAGGGGTTTATTACATTTGAGAGAGAAAATACTTAAGATGATTGCTTAACTTAGATATCAGTACAGATAATAGCAGGATTCACCATAGGGGAGATACTCAGAGGACCTCAAACATACCAAATGGGAAATAGGTTAATGGCTACTCCCCTACTCACATAATGGTCACTTCCTTCATGATGCTTTTACATATAAACAATGAGGGTTCAGCTATGGAGCAAGTTACACTATATAGTCAAGTAGGTGTGTAGCTTTCTTGTAAATCCAGTCTAACAATATTATTAGAAAGGGATGTCTTTTGACAACAAAAGGAAAACCACAGAATTTCTTATAATATCTTTTATAGTTAATATAAGAGCAGGGAACATTTTTTCTAAAAATTTGAATTTAATTATATATCAAGAGTCACTGTTTCCTCTGAAAAAGCTATAGAACTAGTCTGATGCCACAAGGTGGAAGAAAGGAATATTAGCTGATGGCTTCAAGTGATGACATACTGGTGACAACTGTAGGTTGTTTGGGAGCTCATTGGAAACAAATGACACACTCTAACTGCTCTAATTGGGTAGGAGACTATAACAAAGAAATTATTTATAAAGGGTATAAATAAGAAAATCAATAATAGTCATATAATTTACTGTTTAAAGGGTGTCACTTTTTAGGGTAAAAGGAAACTTTATTAATAATTTCTGTCAGGACAATGGGTATAAACTGGGTCTGGCCCAGGCAAGTTGTAACATTCAGAATTGAGTAGTACCCCCAAAAGCAAAGAGCAGAAATGGTTATCAGAACTTAGAATATAGCAAGATCTAAAGGTCAACTAACAGGGGTTGGGGCCTTCAGAAAAGCATGCAATCTATGAGGAACTAACACAAAAAGAATGGGTGAATTAAAATACCAACATCACTGTCCTCCTACCTCCTGAATTCGTGCCAATGTCGCCCATTGGCTGAACTCAACCAGAAACTGGAGGTCTAGGGAGCCTTGGATGCAGTCCATCTGGGTCAGCTTCCCTGGTGCATGAAGCAGGATAGGGAAGGATGGAGAGTACATTTGGAAGGGAAAATAGAAAATATCTAGCATAGTAAACATCTTTGCAAAGATATCTAAAACTGAAATTATCCTTCAGCCCTGACCTCTTCTGCAACTCTTAAAGCATTCTAAGAGAGCTCAACACTTCTTGAATAATTTTCTCCTCATTGATTTCATATTAAATTGTTGAAAAACAGTAAAACAAGCAAGATCTTTTACCTCCAACTGATTGAGAGTAAGGCCGTTTCTTTACAGAGGAATGAGTGAAAACACTAGATTATCATGCATATGTTTAGCCTTCTTTACTTCCTAATGTATAGGCTGATTAGGCAGGTATCACCAGCCTGAGAATGAAATAAAATAAAAGGTATGCTTTTCACATTTGTCATAGGAAATGCCCTCACTTCACTTTCTGCTCTACAAATATCCCCAAAGGATTTTAGAGGAGGTATGGAGTTTGGTGAAACCAACCAATGGTTCAGACTAACAGAAAGGCTGCATGACTACAACTGTACAATGCAAATTAACAGGCCAAATAGATATGTGCTGCAGTCATCAAAAACCACACGCTGAGCCCTGGACATAATATAAATGTGATACCTGACAATGTACGATGAAGGTAGAATATCAAGAGAGAAAGACTGTTCACCTCTGCAAAGTGTGACCATTCCTTTCTGGATAAGTATACAAAAGCCAAGACATAGAAAGTGAGTATGTCCAGCATTCTGGAAAATCTAGAGAAATCTCTTTACTTCCACCGCCCCCCCCCCCCCCCCCCCGCAAATCACACACCCGTCTGCCAGCGTAAGTCCATTGTCACACTTTGTAAAATATTACCAAGAGAAGATTGGTGTCTTCCACTTTTCTTACTCTGTAGATGGAAATTTCCAATTCATCAAGATTTCCCACTTAATCAAACTATCTGATACTCCTTCCATTTTCAAGTCCAATGACTCTATGATTTAATAGTTTAAAAAATAAAATCTTTTTCTCTGACTTCTATCTACTTATTCCAACACAGAGTTTTCCACGAGGACTAAATTGCTTTAAATATTCATGATGGTTAAAAAGAGGAGGAAGGAAGTAAATTTTAAGAGAAGGAGGGAAAAATAAGGAAATGAAAAACAAAGGGAAGCATTTTTTTTAAATAAAGAGTTAAGGAAATAAATGAATGACAGATCTTTCTAGTTAGGTAGGAGAAAAGAAAGCTGTTTTGTGGGTCATTTTGGGACTTACAGCATGGATGAAAGTATTGCCTAAGTTCTCTGAGTAATCACAAAGTGATACAAATGATCTCACTTCCATTCTTGACCTAACCTAGGATTTCCCAAACTACACATGTAGATACTGTTCACACCTTTAGCATTTGAACAAATGAAAAGATAGGAAAAATGGGAAGATCTTCAGCCCATCAGGAATTTTCAGAGATGCCTTTCCCTGAATGGTTGTTCCAAGCAAGATGTAATGGATTCCAAGAAGATGGCAGCAAAAAGCTAGAAAAAGAAATCTTTAGAGATACTCTTTCAATAGGAGATGATTTGATGCCTGAGAATGGTTTTTAAAAAATTAATATACTTCAACAGATTGAGTAGTATTTTTAAGTATGTACTATTACATGTGGCATGTAGGGTCTCTCCAGAAAAAAGTCCAGCTATTGTTAATATAATGAGAATAGTATGCACAACATGGACATAACGTGGTAGCCAAGGAGAGTGAACTGAAATGCGCATGCGTGAACAATGATGACTTTGCTATACTAGTCAGTGGGGGTGGTAGATGCTCTTGAGTGGGAAAGTGTACTGTGTGGCCCTGGCATTTGAAGTGACTGTGCGAGTAGAGCAATGGATCTGCATCAAATTTTGTATTAAGCTTGAACGTTCCTCCATAGAAACTATTCAGATGATTCAGAAGGTCACAGCTGCCCTGGCTGGTGTGTCTCAGTGGATTGAGTGTTGTGGCCTTCAAACCAAAGCATTGCCAATTCAATTCCCTGTCAGGGAATGTGCCCGGGTTTTGAGCCAGGTCCCCAGTAGGGAGTGTGCAAGAGCAACCACTCACTAATGTTTCTCTCCCTCTCTTTCTCCCTCCCGTCCGATAGATAGATGATGATAGATAGATAGATAGATAGATAGATAGATAAAAAGAAGGCTGCTGCTATGGGCAACTGGTGATTGGCAGCTTCATCATAACAACACACAGGCTCAGGCATCACGTTTCATGCAGAGTTTTTTTTGGCAAACCATCAAAACATCCAGGTGACTGGGCCCCCCTTACAGTACCGTTTGGCTTGCAGTTTCCAGATTTTCTCAAAACTAAAATCACCTTTGGGAAGTGTTTCAGACTATCCGTGAGATTCAGGAAAATACACTGGGGCAGCTGATGGTGACTAGGAGAATTGTGTGAGGTCCCAAGGTGACTACTTTGAAAGGGACTGAGGCATCATTGCCCTACGTACAACGTTTCTTGTATCTTGTATCTTCTTCAATAAATGTCTCTATTTTTCATATTACATGGCCAGATACCTTCTGGACAGATCTTGTATAAGACTAAGCCCTATGGTAGCTATGATGATGACCACAGTGCTAAGAAAGGTGAGTTTCCCTAATGAACGTGTAGAGTCCATCACATGCTCTCCCATGCAGTGATTGTTTGGAAAATCAGAACTCACTTTTGAGCTTGTCTTACTTTTCCAGTTCTTAATAATGTTTTTCTATGGCATTCCTTGTAACTGACCTTCACCTTTTTTACTTCTTGCCCTTTATGTGGTCTCATCTTGACTGTTTTTTACCTTCTGATACCAATGAAATTACTGCAAGTTACTTCAAATGTTTTGAAAAAGGTAAATTGATATTGAACAAATCCTTTAATATATGACATTTCCTACTTCTAAAGAAACTCATAATCTATTAAATAAGACTGAGAAATATTATTAAAGTATTACATACTGAATTGAGGTCATAAAAGGGAAGTACAAAATAAATGCAGCTTAAAGGAAAATAAGGTCACATCCAGGTGGGAGACCACTTTTGGAATAGAATGCCAGTGAAACAAGCATTCAATGACAGGAGAAAGACAAAATCTGGGGGTGTGAAGGTAGAATGAAAAAAGATAAGGGCACATTTAGAGCATATTAACTTCAGATGCTACTTGGCAGAAGGCTAGGAGATTAGAGATAAGTCTGAAAGATGGATCAGAGCCATGTAAGAGAGATGATTATAAATTTCAAAGCAAATTTATTATAAATAAATTTATAATTTTCAGAAGTCTACCAAGAGTTTGTGCAAAGAAAAGTGATATCATTGAAGTGATTTAAGAGGTCACATAATTACATATAGGGAAATCAGGGGCTCTGAGCACAAACGTTCAGCTGTGTGTTTAACAGGCAGAGAGCCATCCACTCTAGGATGGCTGAGGAGGAGGCACCCTGTCTGCCTCATCTCTACAAAGATTAACATAGATGTAATGTTTCAAAAGAACACACAGAGAAAAGGAGGCAGCTTGGTGAAACCCTAGAAGAATGCAAATAGAACCTCAGCTAGGGTTACTTTCTTCTGTTTCTGCCCCCATCAGCGTAGCCCAATCCAGAGAAAAGATATGTGTCTTTAGCTCCTGTCTGCCTATCCAATGTCTAGCTGTCCACCAGAAACACTTCTGCTGAACCTGATGAATCAGGTTCTGGCATCACCCCACAACACCCTGAAAAATTGGTGATGGAGAAGGAGGGACCTTCTTTACCAAAGGATGCTGCCATGACATTGAACCCTAGATTTGGAGGGTTACAGAAAAGTCCTTCCTTGAAGTCTGTGGTGAATCAAGGGCTTTGCCACATTCCCGTTAGCACCACAAATTTTATCCTCAAGCCTTAACCAGCGAACTGGGTCCAGCTGTATGGGTACAGCTGTTGAGAGACTTCTATGAAAAAAAGTTCTCTTCTGGCTCAAGTCCTAACACCACTCCCTCCAAGTCCGTGTGTTTTTCCTTCCCCTGCCACCCCCTCCTGTTGTTCCAAGGCACCCTGTGACCTGTGACATTTGCTAGGACTCACTTGGGGCGCCCTGCCTTGGCAGCTCCGGTGATGACTACTAGGAACTTCCCAAGACCAGGGCTCCGCAGGTTCTGACACGCAGGGGGGAGGGGGAGGAGAAGGGAAAGGGGGAAAGAGTGAAGCTGGGCGTCCGGAGAGCCTAGGGCGGCTCGCACCAAGCTCGGGAGGAGCACGGTTCATTTCCTACCAGCTTGGTAGGTGTCGGTCTTCGGTCCTTTCAACCCTCTACTGGCGTTGCCAGGACGCAGAGGCTTCTAGGCATCTTCACGGGCGCTCTCCCTGGCACATTTCGCTGAATTTAAACTCCCCTCTCTGGATTAACAAGGGTTTACCAGTTCAAATTCGAAACCTCCATCTCTTTGCTTCTCTTATTCCTGAAGTCTGTGTGGATGCTCAGGCTCCAACACGGGCCTGGAGCAGTCGAAGTTACTTAGGCTGGGCAGCTTGGCCCAGCGCGCTCGATCCTGCGCGCTTTCCGGATCGCTGCGCGCTGGACAGCACCTTCCCAGGGTGTGCGCCGCTGAGCCCTGCGCCGCGCTGTCGGGCGCTGCTGCTTGAGTCTAGAGTCTGCGCTTTTACGTTTAGCCTAAAGAGTGTGACTGTGAATGTAGTTGGACTCTGGAGTCGGTGGTTTTAAAAGTTCTTGACACCTACAGAAAGTAATACAGGAAACCGTAGCCCCTGAGACGTTTCTTTCCTGAAATTGATCAAGGCGCTTTGAAAAGTAATGTGTTTGAGGACGAAGCCCATCAGATCTTTTCCCATCATTTCAACTTCTTATCATTCCTGCCCCTAAGATTGTCCCAAGTGTACGTTCAATGCCTTCACATGAAAACTCGGCCCAAGCCTCAGGCTACACCCACACTCCAAAGCATCCCGGTAAGACATGAGTTTTCTCATTGGCCACCGAGGAGAGAAAGCACTGCTTGAAAGTGGTCAAAGGAAATGCTCAGAGTGTACAGCACGAAGGAGCCGTGGTACCTAGTTCTTAGAGTGGCTGCCGTTTGGGGCTGTTCCCACCCCCTGCCCTCAACAAAAGGGGGCTTGTTAGAAATGGCCATATAGGAGAAAGATGTAGGTATCTCTTTCTTAAAGCACATGCAGGTACATACCAAGAACTTAAGGCAAAGGTTAAAAAAGGTGAGGGAAATCCCTGATGATTTTACCAATGTTAAAATTCCATAAATTTGGCTAGTCCTATTTTTTTTCTTTCATGTCATCAATTCAGAATTCTACAAAGGAAGCAAATGACATCAAGGAAAATCATTGGCCTAGGAGAAAAGAGCCCGTAGGCGTTTAGGTGTTATATATGTGGAGCCAGAAAGCTCTAGAGCATCAGGGAGACTCCAACTTCAGGCAACAACATGGGTGAATATGGGCTTCTGTGCACTGGGAACAGGAGACAAGGAGTGGAGCCCAGGCATATGGCCCTGAGGCTGGCCTTGTGGATCTAGGGGCAATTCAGTGTGGGTGGAAAGAGGTTAGTGTGAAACTGGGGTGGAACTTGGTTTCCAAATTCATTGCCTGATGCCTTATTTGTTCTCTCAGTTATTTTCAGGAAGATCTTCACCTTGCAACTGGTAGGACTGGTGCTAACCTACAATTTCCATGACTGTGACTTTGAGAGGATTAGAAAGGATTACGAGAACATCATTTTTAAAGATCTGAAGTTATATGTGAATGGGGTAAGTGAAGAAACATTTTTAAATGTGTTTTCATCAGAAGAGTAGACACACACACACACCACAATTTTACTTAAAAAAAGAAAAATAATTGAAGAAAAATATTATTGCCCAGCACACTGTCAAAAAATTTTTAAAGTGATATTGAAATATATCGGTTTCTAAAATTGCTACCTAGAAATCGGCACATATTAGGTATGCAGACACTGATGAGGAGCAGATGTTAACAGGTAGCACATGGTCCATCAAGGTAGTCTATATCCCTGTACTGGGCTGAAGCACTGCTCCACCAGCACAATGGAGAAGAGGAACACTCTTGAGAAACAGAAAAATAAAAAGAGGACTTGAGGGGGAAAAAAAGGGAATAAAAGAGGGAATTCTAGAGAGCTGAGCCCTAACCAGTAAAGGGTTAGACCCTTCAAGTCTATCTAGTGGTCTGGATGCCTTGGGATGCCATTATAGGATAAGGTGTGTTTCAGCTTGTTTAATACACAGTAGAAATCATTGCCCTAATTCTAATCTCTGGATAGAGCATGCATGTGTGAGATGTATGAACAGCTGGCTACAAGACAATTGTGGGCATTCTATTGCTCACTTGTGCAGTCCTACTCAGGTAGGGAAGGGGAGTCTCCCTCCAAGACCAGGACCCTTTGATGCCCAGTTTCAAACACTGACAGGCGCTATCTGAAGACTCTAAATGTTCCACTACCTTGTCAGTGACGAGAACAGATGCATAGGAAACAAGTGCCTAAGTGGAAGTTGCTTTCAGAGGATCTTTAAAATCTGAGAGCAACAGTGGTGGTGGTGATGGTGGGGGTTCTTCTGTGAACTTAAGTCTTCACCCTTATCGGCGTTTTTGTTTTTGTTTTCTTTCTTCCAGACCACATGTATCGGCTGCAACATCGAGAGCTGTGACAGTCCGGTGAGTAGCCGGGCAGCGCTGCTGCCTTTCCCCAGACACACCAGGCATTCCCGGGAAGGGCTGCCCTGCGGTGGTTAGAACCCCAGGCAGTGGCTGGGCTCTCAGGCGATGCCGACCGAGTAGGGACGACTGCTCTACGGGAACCTCTGGGTCGGTGCCCAGCTTGGGATGCACTTCTGTTCCTATTTAAGGCGGGGAAGTCTTTCTCGAAACCACGCGGGATTCCGGAAGAGGCTCCTCGGGTCCCCCGCCCCAGTGGGAGGGAAGGCAAATAGGAACTGGGGCCAGGGCACCACGTCAGGGGAACACCCCTCACACCCCGAGGTGCGATTACTCGGAGACCGCCTCCACGCAGTCTCCGGGGCCCAGCGTTTTGGGCGGAGCGATCGGCGGGGCGGATCCTTTCTAAGGCAGCGCAGTCTGCGCTCTCGCCACGACCCTCCTCCCTCCGCTGCGTGGAGTCTTTATCCGCCTCCTCACCCGAGACCTCCTTTCTCTTATTCGAATCCCATTTTTTGTGTCCCGCGCTTGCCACTGCCCGCTGACCGTTTCGCTCATTTCTGATCAACATTTTTTTGTTTTATACCCCACCCTGGCATTCTGTCCTTGCCTCGTAAACTTTGCCGCTCGTGAGCAGCCAGCTTGCCTCTCGAGAATCGCGCACTTTACCTTCTCCGACCCGCGCTGCAAGTCTCTCGCCAAGAAAACGTTCTCGGTGAAAACTAACGCGACGCTCACTCAAGAGTGCCCGGGCTACTCGGGAATGCAGGTAAGCCGATGCAAAGCAATCTGGCTTTTTTACTACCTTGGCGATAACCTTGAATTAAAGAGGCGGACGGGTTTCCTACAATGGAGCAGTCATTGTGATTTTTATTGAGGTTCTATCTTTTGGAGAGCAAATCAGCCGGGGCTGTAGATCGTCAGTTAGTCCCACATTGTTACCGCAACCCAAACCCACCTATGTCTAGGGCTGTGATTCTTTTGGCAGAATTATTGTTCTAAACCTTAGGCGAGTGTTTCTAGGCGTGATCAGTGAGACTCCTACAACAGAATGTCACCTGGCTACCTGAACATGGAAGATTGTTGGCCAAAATGTCAATTCTCAGGGATCCCACCTAGACTTTCAAAATCACAGTTCTTGTGTATAAGCTTCTTGTAAAATTCTTACCCATTCCAAAATTTGAGCAGAGTTACTTAGGATTATCATTTAATAATTATGTGTTCTTCCTTAAAATAATAAATTACCCCACGTTTGCTTTATTGCTTGTGTGAGTGTTACTGCTGCCTCTTTACAGAGTGGCTTTCACATTTACAGTTACATGCATTTGAATGAATGTGTAACTTTAAATATGGAAACAGTAGTGTAGAGTTAGGAGCAGAGAGTGTAGAGACAGTCTTGCCTGACTTGAATCCTAGCTCCCTAACTTTCGTGAAAACTTAGATAAATTACTTATCCTCTGTGTGCTCAGTTTCTTCTGCAACATGAGGGTCACATTAGCAAGTCCCGTATGGAGTGTTTATAAGGATTAAATGAGTCAATACTTGTAAAAGCACTTGGAACAGTGCCTGGCATGTAACTAGTACTCAATAAGTATTTATTCAGCATGCGAGTAAAGCAGGGAATGTCTTCCTGATGACAAACTATAAAAAGACAAAGAGAAACAAGTACAGATATGTATGATTACTATCTAGTAACCAATGAACTTTATCAGTCTGCACACTGAGTATGTCTGTGTGGCCAAGGCAGTCACTTCATTAGGGACTGAAGACTAAAGCCATAGGGTGGTTCTGGCTGCATGTGAAAAACCTGTTTGGTTCTGTGTCTTCTATCAAGGAGACTCTAGTAAGTCTACAGATGGCCACAGTGAAGTTTATCCATACAAGAAGAGCATAGAGAACAGGCCAGGTCAAATTCTGGACAGTAAGTCTGTAGTAATTTATTTCAGCCCCCTCTCAAGCCCAAGGGAAGAGCTGAAGACCAATACTATTAAACTATGATTTAGCAAGTTTTAGATTGTAAAATTTTTGCTTAGTAACCTGGTGAACTTTACTGGCCTGAATAACTGTGGGTTAGGAGGCTCTATCACTACTCAAGAGTAATTTAGGTGGAGGAAAATACCAGAATATCACTGTAATCTTTTTTCTTTAAGTTTAGGCTCCTCTTCAGAAAAGACTTCAGGTATCTAACCAGTCTCAGTGGTGGAAGGGACAGAAGGCAGGAGCACTTTGGGTTCAAATAAGTTTACTGAATTATATCTGTAAAAAGGCATTAAATATATACTGTTTTTTGAGGAACTTAGAATCTTGTTGGGGGAGATCATGAAATTATTGACATTCATTTATTTACTCATTCAATAAATACTCAGTGTTTCTCATATACAAAATGTTCTACTCACCACTATGGGGAATACCCATGATGCAATAATAAAAGTAGCACTTAAGTGAAAGTCAAGTTAAATGAAACACTCTGTGAAACACTAGAAGAGTTTCCAAAAGCAAAGTCTGAGCAATTAGCAGAAGCCTTGTAAAGGAAGTGGTGCTTGGCCTTGAAGCATGAGTAGATGGGAGGAAAATGAAAGGGCCTTCCTCTGGGGAAAGCACACGGGAACAGATAGTAATCAGGTGTTTGGGGGGTACATTGAGAGATGGTTTGCATAGAGAAGACAGAATAACCTACCTCTAAACAGTTGTTAAAGATAGTGACAATTAATTTTTATTGATTTTCCTATTCCACAGGCAAATAATACCCAGGCAATGATGAGAAGAAAGAAAAGAGAAGACACAAAAAATGCATGCCTGGAAATAGCCTCAAACTTAATAGGATTGTGGGGTCGTTTTGCTCGCTCTTAACAGATACAAAATAAACCCTTCACTGAAGTCCTACTTCACAGCAGCAAAATTATCATTACTAGGTACATGGAATGTTACTTCTGTGAAATTTTTAATTACAGAAGGGTATCTTAACTTATTTTTGTAAGCTTTTATTGTTTAATAATGGTTTATAATGTGGGGGAAGTACTATCCCTCAAATGTTCGGGGACAATTCTGTGGAATTGATGTCTAGGTGACTGGCTTTGTGACAGTAAATCTCAGCTGCAACTATGTTGATCTTATTAAAGGAAAGAATTTAAAAATGTAGTAGGAGAACTTTTTCCCTTAGAAAAGGAAAAATGTTGAACTCAATAGGATATAAACCTCTGTTTAAAAGACAGGCATTTCTTTCCTATGTATTGATACTTCTTATGATCTCAAACTAAAAATTTACAAGAGAAGCAAATAAAAGCAAAAGGATACACACAAAAAGTTGTACATATAAGGAGCAATTTGGAAGAATTTCAGATTAATATTGTAAAGTATTTTTAAGTCAAGTTTTTAAAATTATATAACAGACAAGAGTGGTATATGCAAGTAGATCTTGAAGAAGTGCCTTTGTTAAAGCTAAAATAATATATTTTTTAAAACTTATAGACTATATTTTTAATTTATTTTGTAAGCACTTTTTAAAATATACATGTTGCTTTGTTTTTGACACAGTATGTTTCTTAATAAAATAATTTTCAAATTGAACTGTCAAGAATATTCTTTTTAATGTGGGTAGTAAGTGATTTTCACCTTTACACTTTTCTGAAGGAGTTCACTTTTCTTTGGTTCTTTACCTCCCTTGATCCTTGGACACCACTGACCACTCCCCTCCTGCTCTGTGCCTGCTGTAGAGAGAATATATGGGGATAAGTGGCTTCAAGATACTTTCCAAAAATTCTTTTCTTAAATCATGACTATAGTCCTTTCCTTCTTGGATGGATTTCCCCACATTTGGATGAGGCAAGGTAGGCAAAGATAAACAAGAGATGTTAAATCCATTCTCCTGTGAAATGCCTGATGCAAGCTGGACCAAAGGCACCCTCTTACTCACCCTTGACTCAGAATGCTCTGATCAACAGTGGGAGGGGCCAAACTGGCTATAACACGGAGGCCAATATAGAGGAGACAGGAATGTGATGATTTATCTTCTGAGTGGAAACTTTCTCCTGTCTACTGCCCTGAGGGATGATGCTGAGCACTGATACAAGAGGGAGAGTTTAATATCCCTAAATCCATCTTGCCTTTCAACAGGTAGGAGGAAGCTTACATTATGTATTAAATAAGCATGTACAGAGCACCTACTGTGTGTCAAGCCAAGTACTGGGGATACAAAAGGAAATAAGACAAACTTCTTACCCAGAGAACCTCAAACTGTATCTGAAAAAGCAGGGCATTTGTTTTTCTTTTTTGCCTTATTGAAAAGCAGGACATACTTCTTTCCAAAACACCTTCATTTAAAGACTAGGGGTATAAATGACATCTTAAGAGAAACTCCTTTGGTCAGTATTCATTAATTTTCTGAGTGAAAAGTGGGGAAGGGGAAGACACTTTAAACCTATTAATTCCATCCTGGTAAGGATTCACTGAGTAGATTTCACTAAAACTCTAAAAAGAAATACCCTCACAATTTTCCTCAAGGTTTTTGGTCTAGTTTTCCTATGAGCAGGGAGAAGTGAAGGACTGAGAGAGAAGACAACTCGAAGTCATTCCACTGAATGTGGTTTCTTCGAGTTTTTGGCTTTATCTTCAAAAATTCATGTAATTTATATATTTTATTCTTCTATATATTCCATAAATGTTTTAACATAAAAAAATCATTTAAGTTACTTACTATCAAGTAAAAGTAATGTGCATTATATTAATCTAGTAACAACTTTTTCTGATATTGTTAAAAATGAATTATATATTTCTATTCTTTGAAATGTATTGGGGTTTTCTTGGTAGACTAATATATGAACAGTTTTATAAATGTTTCATGGTAAATGGAAAGAAAGTTGCAAACTCAGGTGTAAGCATATAGAATTGAATATGTACTTGCTGGAGCCACCTTGTTAATTATGGTATTTACATAACTTATCAGCTTACATTTGTCTCCTTCAGTTAGAGATTGAGAGAGCTGAGGTAAAGTCTATTGGTGTTATAATACATTATTTCCCTGATTGCTGATAATATATTTATTTAATGCCTAAAAATATATGAGAGCTATTTATTAATTGAACCCTTTGGTATTATATGTCCAAATATGGCGTTTCTTTTTTAATTATATTTTTCTTTTTTTATTTAATCTATTTTGATGTATTGTATTTTTTCCATTACCATTTAGTCCTCTTATACTCCCTTTCTCCAGCAATCACCACACTGCTGTCCATGTCCATCAGTCCTTTTTACTTTCTGCTCAATCCCCCCACCCTCTAACTTCCCCCACCCCAGCGGTAATCCTGCTCTCCATCTCTGAGTCTGCCCCCAGTTTCCTTGTTAGTTCAGTTTGTTCATTAGATGTTTCTTGCCAACTAATATATGCTATTTTAGGCTCAATATCTCTGAGTACCTTTGTTTTAGATGTGTATGCTGTATGCAGATACATCATTTTAGTGCGTGTGTGGTGGGAAAAAAGTTTGGTGTGAGGGGGAGCATGTTTAGTTTTAGAACTGTCATTGTATTGTTATGTTTTCTGTTTTTACACTGCTACATTATTTGTATAATTTTAACCTAAAAGAGGCCTTTACATTTATTCTTGTCAAGCATTTCTTGTTGATTTCTTTTCATCATTCAAGTACATTGAGATCTTGAGATTTTGAATATTGATTCTGGAATTTGTGATTCCCCCTCATAGACTTTCTATGGCTCAACTCAAGTTATTAAAAAAAATGTTGATCAGGACAAGAGCAAGATGTATAAATAGAGAAATAGAGAAATTCAAAACTGATGAAGTCATTTGCCCATGTTTTATGTTAAAAAGAAAAAAAAAAGGAACAGTGACATCCAAGGAATGGCGATGTAAGAGATACCCTTAATCTCCCCCCTTGAAGTTTCAACAATTTGGACAGCTATACTTCAACAAAACATTTCCTTCTCAACTAAAAAACATGGCTGAGGGACCCGCATATTGAAATATTTAAAGGTGGGCAAGTGGAAGGGGACTGGGGAATCGATAAGGGAGAAAGCTCAAAGAAGCCACAGAGGCAGTCCTGTAGCCAGGAGCTCACCATGGGGTTCAGCCCAGAAAGGCCAGGAATCAGGTTGTGGTTGCTGTGCCTTCAGCAGAAAGGAGCAAAGAGATTCAGTGGGCATTCTTACAGGAGTGAACAGAATGACTTGCAGCTAAGCCTAGTGACTTGGGCAGGGACACAACATAGAAGTACAGCCACAATTGTCAATTGGTTGGCATTACAGACAAACAGACAAAGTCAGGAAGCCTGGCTGTCCCTTAACCTCCTTCAGCTTGCTTCCCTTTGCCCTTTTTATCATGTTGCAGAATACATTATCTGCAAATCCTAGAACAGGTTCTATGGAATTGTTTTTTCCCTGAGCAAAAAGCACACTCTGTGACTGGTCTCAGCATCTGACACAGGGGAAACTCCATTGAGGTCCAAGAACACCATTGCTGGGAAGGAAAAGAAACAAAGAAGGTGGTTGGGTTCCCTCAGCCTACCATACCCCCATGCATTATGTGTACACTGATGGCAGCATTTAGCTGCAGGGGACTATGTTGGATTTCATGGCTTTTGGGCCCCATCACTAACCACATTCCCCTGCAGGTTTGATTTGTGGCAACCAAATCACAGAAGAAACACCTACCTTCCTAGAGAATACAGGCCATTTTCTGTCATGCCATGGAGATCTGAAAAGCCAGAGGGGTGCAAGAGAGCTAAAAAAAACTCTTGTGATTCAGAGCCATCTACCAGAAAATAAAAAAAAAATTCATACCAATATACTAGAGAAGTGCCATTCATACATAGATAACTAGACAGAAAAGGAATCCATCAAATACCATGAATAACCAAGAGAGTGAGGTAGCTCAGAAAAAAAAATGAAACAAATCCAGCAAATAAACTTAAAGACATGGAAACATGTGATTTAAATGACAGGAAATTCAAGATTGCAATTCTGAAAAAACTCAATGAGACATAAGAAAACACTGATAGGCAGTTTAACAAGCTCAAAAAACAAATCAACAAACAAAATGAGTACTTTACCAAAGAGACAGAAACTTTAAAAAAGAACCAAACATAAATTCTGGAGATGAAGAACTCAATGAAAGGGATCAAGAATAAACTAGTGAACACAAGAAATAGAGTTGATCAGATGATGGAGGGAATTAGTGACATTGAAGATAGAAATCTAGAAATGATGCAGAGAGGAGAGAGATTTAAGTATAAAAAAATGAAAAAACTTCATGAGAACTATCTGACTCCATGCCGGAAATAGCCATTAAAAAATAGGCATACCACTGCTGGGATTACATCTTAAGAATCCTGAAACACCAATCCATAAGAACCTGTGCACCTCAATGTTCATAGCAGCACAGTTTACAATAGCCAAGTGCTGTAAGCAACCTAAGTGCACATCAGTAAATGAATGGATAAAAAAACTATGGCACATTTATACAATGGAATACTATGCAGCAGAAAGAAGGTAGGAGCTTCTACCCTTTGAGACAGCATGGATGGAACTGGAGAGCATTATGCTGTGAAATAAGCCAGGCAGTGGAAGACAAATACCGTATGATCTCCCCTTTAAGTGGAACCTAATCAACAACAACAACAACAACAAAAAACAAGCAAGCAAAATAGAACCAGAGACATTGAAATTAAGAACAATCTGACAGTAACCAGAGGGAAGGTGGGAGGGGATAATGGGGGGAAAGAGGGAAAAGGTTTTCAGGAACATCTATAAAGGACATGTGGACAAAACCAAGGCAGGAATGGAATCAGGGGAGGGAGATGGGAATGGCTGGGGTGTGGGAGAGCGGTGGGGAGAAAATGCAGACAATTGTACTTGAACAATAAATTTTAAAAATAAGCATACCAGAAGAAGAGATGGAGAAGGAAACAGACCCTATTCAAAAAATAGTTGATGAGAACTTCCCAAACCTATGAAAAGAGCTAGATCCTCAACTCCAAGAAGCACAAAGAATACCTATTACCCCAATCCAAAAAGGTGTTCTCCAAAGCATATTATATAAAAACTGTGAAAAAATAATGACAAGAGATCTAAGATGGTGGCAGATTAGGTGGAAGCTACACTAACCTCCTCCCAGGACCAAACTAGAATTACAACTAAATTATAGAAAAATCATCCTGAATAACCAACTGAACATGAGCTGGAGAAAAGCTTTATAACCAAAGACTTATGCAAGAAACCACTTTGCCACAGTGAGACACATAAAAATTGCAGAAACATGAGAGGTCTGGCTGGACTCCAATAGGCAGCAGCTGAAGTTCCACAAGGATTCTCAGCTTCGGGGCTGGGAGGGGAAGGAGGCAAAGGAGGTTTCTCTGAGAAGTGTGGGGTCTAAACCCTAAGCTGCTGGACACGTGGACAAAACCATGGTGCCAAGAGCACCATGCCAGAGAAGGTGCCCACATAACATCTGTAAAAAGCAGTGGGGTTTCTGCCTGCCAAGGAGAAATGGCTAGAAAGACAGCCACACTCTTAAAGGCACA